CTTCCTGAGACTCAGAAACAGACCTTCTTTTACAGTAATATGTGGCTGAAGCAGATTCATCTCTGTAATACCAAGAGGTTATTTCTGGGTGTGCATTCCATTTGGTTTGAGATGAAGTCAACAAAAGTTTCCAGTTTCACTCATCTGAAGAGATTCAGCTATCAACCAGTGCTGTTGCAATTGCAACCCAAGTGTACACAGACTTTCTAAATAATACAATAACCCCACCAAAACTCCCACCTCCTTTATATTCTTCACCTACTTTATATTCTAACAAAAAGAGTGAAACAAATAGCATATCTGAAAAATGACAAATGGTATCTACCCCAAGACTTTCATTCTCGGGCTCATCTAAACAGAAGTCCCTTTGTTTGGAGAAGAGTTGAGCTATGGGCAGTGTGGGCAGTGCTGAAAAAGACGTGTTAGTTTTTCTTTTTTAAAAAAATCCAGAAATTCTTCTTTAGAATAAATAACATTCTGTTCAATGTGAGAAAGTTGCTTTCCATCAGAACTCCAAAATGCACAGCACACTCACCTGTGCTCCACAGCAGCCACTATAAAGCCCTGAGAAGCCATCTCTATGCAAATAGCAGAATAGATTGTCCTGCAATAAAAACCACACTCTGGTGAGATGTCATTCTTTCAGTTCCATTGCTCCTTAAATGCTGACCACACAAGGTATACACTAGTCTCCACTCAATATTTCTTCTCTTTGAATTTGCTACCCAGCAAAGCAAGATTTCGTATGCCAGGCACCACAGCCTGTTCACAAAACCTTGGTACTGCTTTACTGTCTGTTCAGAAAGGAAGATGCCACTGACTTTTAATAAGTAGCACACACAGCACTTTGCATCTTCAAAGAGCTGTCCAAAAATTAACCAGCTAATTTTCACAACATCCTTATGGGCTGGTAAATATCTTCCCCTCCCTCATAACAAAGGTAAAACACAAATGGAGCTCTGAGCAACCTGGTCTAGGGGAAGCTGTCCCTGCCCACAGCAGTGATGATCTTTAAAGGCCCCTTCCAACCCAGGCTGTTCTATTATTCTGTGACCAACCATACACCAGCCCTGCTGTTGTTTCAGTGGGGGCATAATGACATATGGCAGCCTGTTCTTCAAATCTGTTTCAGCTCCACAAGGATCTCACCTCCCTACTGAAATCTGTTCAGAACCACCCTTGGAGACTGCTGTCTCCACAGACAACAAAACCAGTTTATCAACAAACTGCAAAATTACCGAAAAGCTCCAAGTCCATGGGAAAAAACAAGAAGTGGGTATTTTTCTCCTGGCTTAAAAGCAGCATTTGACTTTGCAGGACAGGTCACTGAACCTAAATAAAAATGGAAGTATACATCATTATAAATAAAAATGGAAGTGTACATCATTATTACTGGAATGAGAGAAAGCATTTGTTCCTGTGGAAAAGATCCCAAGAATGTAGTGATCACTAATATCAGAGCAATCACCTAAAGATAAGGTGCCAAGACTCATCTTTAAAATAGAAAGCAAAAATGGATCTGATTCTGAAAAATCTTGGCAGAAGATACTTGTCTTCTCCCATCCACAGCCTGGCACAAGGTCTACATATCTCTGAAATCTTCATAGTCAGGCATCTAGGTCTTGCTGATATTCAGACCTTAGGATCTCTCTGACTTTTGTATATTTGCACATTTCCTTGTGGGATTTAAATCGCAACACACAAGTGCAGCTGACCTAGAGCAAACTGCCCAGACACTTCACACTTCTATCTACAGCAGTCAGGGACTGCTGAGAGCTGGGGTCACATTTAGCACTCTCACTACACAAACCCATCCCACAAAACCACACTTTTTAACTAAAAACTCTTTTTCAGCCCTGCAGCAGTAACACCCTACTCATGGAGCATGGAGGCAGTGACAAGAATAAAGGAATAAAACCAGAAGGAGTCTTACCAACATAGTAATGGAAGAGCCTTTCTCCTACAACCCGGTACATATTAAGGAAGTCAGAGAGTCCCTGATAGTATTCTTTGTCCGGAATCCATCGTGCCTCTTCGATATCTGTGGCATCATATGCTGGATAATACAGGCGCAAAAAGCTTCCCTGGGATTAGGAAAAATTAAAAAAAAAAAAGGAATATTGGTATTTATTTCTATATGGAAGAGGAAATGGAAGACTAAAACATTTATAAGAAAGGTTTTGGTTGCAAGAATGCAGTTCAAGAGAATGATGAGAATCTCATGAGAAAATTATTATCATATACAGGCTTTGATGCCAATCCTATGTCACAATTTTCCCGTGCCTACAATGAATTTAAAGTAACATAAGATAGACATCGTCACAGGTGGAGATACACATCACCTTCTCTAGGTTAGCTTAAGGCTTATTAGAAATGCTTCATTTAATTAAGTTAATTATTACAAACACTCACTACCTATTTGCTCAATCCAGCATCTTGCTGGATCTTTTCTTCCATCTTCTTCACTGGGAATGGTTTGATGATGTGCTTTGGTAAGTTTCATAGGGCTGACTGAAGTTTAAGGGGTGACTGAAGATGACCTGAGAGCTGGAGCACCTCTCCAAGCATGACAGGCTGAGAGAGCTGAGGCCATTCAGTCTGGAGAAAATAAAGCTCTCTAACGTGGCTGTACTGTTCCTGCCTAAACTGAGCAGAGGTTGTCAGCGAAGCCCTTGGGCAGCTGCACAGCAAGGGAGAACAATAAATTGCTCTTCTTCCTCATCAAGATGTTCACAAGTGTCTTGTAGTCCATCCTTTTAAACACAACTTTGTTGGCCTGTGTTTCATCTGCCTCTGTTTCTCACCACCAGTTCAAATCTCCTACTGTCTGCACTCCAGGTATCCCAGGAAAGCACCCAAGCTTTCCACACTCACGAGGACCTTCCATATCCCCTTGTCAGTCTTTTTCCTTCACAGACAGCAGCAATGTACCAATGCTACAAAGCAGACTTCCCAGCAGATGAACTGTGTGCAGTTTGCATTCTTAATTCCTGGTTTGTAAGGAAATTTGCAATACCCCATTAAAATTCACTGTCTTGCTCCAGCTGTACTTTTGGTTTTGCAAGTTACAATCATGGCCAAAATAAACATGAGCTTTGAAATAAAGCCTGATTTCTTGAACACTAATTTATCCGTTTACCAAAAGTTTGTTTAATGAAGTTTGTTTCTATTCACTTATCAAACTTAAATCAACCTTTGACACAGAGACCATTGTGGAAGAACTTTCCTCCACATTGGTAGTGATATCAACTTGATCTCAGAACAGTCCCAGTGAACCTCCCCAATGACTAACTGATTACCAGAAAGGGGAAGAGGTTCATTATTTATGCCTGAGAGAACTGCAGTTGTTCATAATACTTATGTAAAAAACCTCACATGCGCTGACTGCAAAGAGAAACTCATAACTTCTCTGTGCTGATATGGAGTAAGTTCAGTAAAGGAAAACATATGAACCATTACAAACTGATCTCAAGTTTCACTCCATCTGGCTACTCTGTGGAGTAAAACCACAGTGTAAATGCAGGTGTATTCTCTCAAAGGCAAGAGGATTTGAAATGAAACTCACAATGAAGAAAACTCACAATGAAGCTCATTACTTGTCTGGTTAATGCCCCTGTCTTACTATTGTGGCTTCTCACTGTGCTTACCTCTTGCAAAATTGACATCCTGTTCATCTTCAGTGAGATAAAATCTCAATAGACATCTCGTCTCTTACCCTGCAGCTGAAACACTACATAGGCTCATCTCCAAACCCTGCCAAATCCTGTTGAGATCTTTGTGATGAGAACAGCCACAGCCACAGAGACTGTGCGTGGAGTCTCCTCAGGAGCCCAGCACAGGAGGCAGCAGTGGGGTGGGTGGGAAGAACCCGGTGGGTCTCAGAATGACACAGTTTCTTTGCAGTATCTTTTGTAGGAGAGTCAGAAAGGCAAGGACATTAGAAGAGGGAGGAATTGGCCATGGGAAAGGCTTGCAGGTTACATCCATCTGGTAAATGCCCAGCACACATCCTACACCAGGATGGAGAGGATAGAAAGCTCAGCTGTGAGTGTCAGCATGGAGCACACAGGCAAGACCTTCTGCTTTAAAACTGCAGCCGGTTATTTCACTAACATTGTGGCTTAAATCCAAACAGTCGAGAGCTTTACCTCAACTGCATTTTCTGTCATCAGGTCTGTACATCCAACTGAGTGTGGTCCCTTTCCTTCAGGGATCCTGTAAAACTTCTCAGTGCTGTTAGTGCTCCACATTTCTACTGGTGACTTCACCAACGAATCTGGGGGAAAAAACAAAAGCAAATCAAGAGACCATCATGGCCTCTGTGACAAGACCACCCACACTGAAACAAATCCAGCACGCTGAAAATCCAGAATTAGGAAAACCAAGATTGAGCCAATACAGAAATCTGCTTGTGACAAACAAAGAAATCCCGAATTGTCAACCTGACCTGTTCTACTGGGGATTTTCCTTGTTGTATCCTGAATCCCAAGGAGCAGACAGCGCCGTGCACTTACAGAAAAGTGGGATGATACCTTTGGATGGCGAGCCCGCGGCGGCACTCGGGAGATCTGCGGTGCTACGAACCGCACAGAGGAAGAATTCTGCCGCTCCTCGAGAAAAACCGGCCTGTGCATCAGGGGGAGTGGGATGTCACAGAGAAACACAACGCCGCTGCCATTTTTCCAGAAGGAATGACGAATCCCAAGCTCGGCCCCTGGCGAGACAAGGTCGGGCTGTCCGTGCCGGAGCGGGTGACAGGGCGGTGTGGCCGTACCTGGGCTGACCCCTCCGCGCCGGGCTGGCCTCGGCGATGCGCAGAGCGCGGGGGAAAGCAGCCGCATCCCGGGCTGGGCTCTATCTGCCGCCTTCTCCTTGGGGAAGGAGACACGGAGCCATCCTTCTCCCGGTACCCCGCCGCCCGGGGCGGGGCTCCCAGTGCGATGTCACGGCTGCTCCTCCCCGGAAAAGCCGCGGGGCCGGCGGCCGCTCCGCCCCGGAAAAGTCCCTCTGAGGCGCGGCGGATCCCTGTCCCGCAAAGATGGTGCGGAAACTGAAGTACCACGAGCAGAAGCTGCTGCGGCGGCTGGACCTGGTGAACTGGGAGGTGTCGGGCGGGAACTTGGCGGAGGTGCGGGCGCTGCGGCGGTACCGGGTGGGCCGGCGGGAGGACTACGTGCAGTACAAGGCGCTGGCCCGCGCCGTGCGCGCCCTGGCGCGGCGCCTCCGCGACCTGGGCCCGGCCAGCGCCGCCTTCCGCGCCCGCTGCGCAGCCGCGCTGCTGGAGAAGCTGTACGGGCTGGGGCTGGTGAACAGCCGGCAGTCGCTGGCCGTCTGCGAGAGCCTCTCGGCCGCCGCCTTCTGCCGCCGGCGCCTGCCGTGCCTGCTGGTGAAGCTGCGCATGGCGCAGAACCTGCGCCACGCCGTCACCTTCGTGGAGCAGGGGCACGTCCGCGTGGGGCCCGAGGTGGTGACAGACCCCGCGCTCCTCGTGCCCCGCGCCGTCGAGGACTTCATCACCTGGGTGGACGCGTCGCGCCTGCGGCAGAAGGTGCTCGACTACAATCAGGAGCGTGACGACTTCGACCTGGCCGCCTAGGGCTGCCCTGCCTCACAGGACACGCTCACCGATAACACCACCACGGGATATTCACACGCCTGCAAAGGGAGCCAGAAGGAAACTGTGCGCTTCCAGTGTCGTACTGACCTGCTCCTGGCTCCCTTTCACAGCTGATGGTTCCATTCATCCACGCAGAGGAACAACCTTTACACATCCACTGCTTCAAGAATACATCCAGTGGTCCAGCTCCGTCATCATCCCTGGCATGCTGTCCTGGTTTAGAGCAGATTTTTCTTCTCCCCCGCTTCACTCTCAGATCTAAAGGTGCAGAACTTATTTCTGGGCTCAAGAGACAGACGGGGATACCAGCACCACCCCAGGACACATCTCAGCTCCATCATCGTGCTCAGCTCCCTCGTCCTTAAAAGTGCATCTCCATCATCCTTACATCCCATAAAGCAAAAGTGCTTGGAAAAGTCTCTGCCCAGTCGCAGGAGAGGATTTAGGTCAGACTTAAGTGCTTGGCAGCTTAATAGCAGCTGCTGGAAGGGGTTTTAAGCCAAGCTGAGCGGCTGTTTTAAGACTGAGTTTAGCTGCTTCACTGCTCTTTTTCCAAGAGGTTGTCCTGGTTCCTCCTTCAGCTGGTGAATGCACAGGAATCAGAGTTACTTCTGGAAGGGTTTTCTTTTATATCAAGGAACAAGGAGGGGATTTCTGGGGCTCAGCAGTAAACAAGAAGGCCAAATACCATGTTTCTGGAACTGTTAAAAGTTTTAGCCAAAAACAGAATTAAAACCAAAACAAACCAAACACTTTTATTGTCATGTGAAGTTGTGAAGGGATGTTTGATGCTATGAGTTGTGTCTTTGCTGTGTGGGTTCCAGATTACCATTATGCATCATTTATGGACCAGGATCTAACTGGGGAGGTGTTGGAGCAAAAGCTGGTGTAACCATAACTGCAGATTTGGGGGAACTTCTGCATTTAGTACATTAGCCAGGGGCTGTTGGGAATTTTGTTCCTTTTTTATTAAAAAAAGCAGAAAAACAAAAATAAAACTGTTGGACTTTTTTTTAGTTGGTGAAGAAGTGTGTGGACTGCTTTATGATATAGTTTCTCTGAGTTTATTCTGATTTGTAAATGGTCCAGTAAGCCCTGTTTGCCACCTTTCTAAACTTTTTTTTAATTTAAGTTTTTATGTAACTTATGTAAGTCTGGTTTTATTTTAATAGCTAGAAGGCTATTACTGAGTTGTAACATGTTTATCCTAGGAATGCTCTCTTTCCCTTACCCGGGGCTATGAAGGGATTTGGCAGTAGGTTTAGAAGCAGAGCTGTGACTGTCCATCCTAAATCCAAAGAGCTGGAGGAGTGCAGCTACTGTCAAAGCTCTGGATGTGGATGCCTTAGTGTGGCTTTTTTGAACAGAAAAAGTATTCAGCTGAGGTATATTTTGTATTGCATGACTACAATATGCCACCAAATATTATGTCAAGTTTTTATAAGGCAAACAGAATGTTTACATTTCTTTCCAATCTCATAAGCCAGCTGTATTAAGCATAACAATTATTAAAGCAATAATAGATACTAAGAAAAGGACACTAAACAGGTGGATAAACCATTTGCCTACTACTGCTGCTTGTACTTTAATTTATTTCAGTAACCATAACCTCAACAACATCTTAATCTTTTTCTTAGAGTGTGCATCTTGCTTATGGTAAGAAATAGAACCTGAAAAAAAGTTTCACACCTGATGCCTGACTTCTAAACACCTTCACAGCTTCCCTTTCCTCTAGAACAGTGCCATCATTTCTTGGGAAATTTAGAAGGTGCCTTATTCAGGTGCAGGTTAAAGCAGTGTTTCTGCTGTGCTTTACTCTTTTGGGGGAATTTAAGTAATAGCACAGTTACTATGCAGGGGATTTTACTACTGAGATGCTGAACTCCTGCTCTGCCCCATGTGTCCAGCCCTTGGAGGAACTGTAGAAAAGGAGATATCAAACCTCCAGCCTGTCAGCCTCTGCAGTTTATATCATCAGCCCATTCCTTTTGTATGAAACCTACTTTTTATCATTCAGTATCTGTAACAGAAGAGAAATAAGCCTGTAGACTGTTAAGCAGTGGGAATTGATTTCCTTAGAAATATGTGGGATAACAGCATCCATCACCCCTGCTCTCCTCCTATGGTACTGGAAATCAAATTCTTATGTTCTCTAAGAAATCAGGCTGTGTGTTTATATGTCTGTGTGCTTTAAGTCTGGAATTTCTTAACTGTGCTGGTTGTACAGTAGCTGAGACCTGAGATGAGTGTCCTGCTCCTCAGTTTTTAGCAGCTGGCATCCTCACGCATCCCTGACCAGAGCTGGGTCCGCTTCAAGTACAATAAAATAGATAAAACAGATAAAATGGAAGTTCCAGCAGCACAGCCACATTCCTGCTGATGATGACAACCAGGGAAATAATGGCTTCCTTGTGTTCCACAGTGGTTTTGCCTTTAGTTCCTGGGTTTGGGTTTGTTTTCCAGAGCTGACATGCTGTGGCCACTGCTGGGTGGTTCCCGCAGCAGTTCTGGAGCCGGGGATTGAAAGGGCACAGGAAGCAGCTCCTACAGCCTTTCCCAACACTTGGATAAACATGGAGGCTTTTGTTAAATTCCAAGGCTGATCCAATGTCAGTAAAATTGGCACAGCTTCCATGGTCTTGTATAAACTGGCATGAGGATATCATCCAATATTGTCCTTTTTTGGGCCAGGTCCTTCAAACTCTCCCCTCCAGTGCTCCAGGGACTTGCAGCAGGAGAACTTTGCATGTGAGAGTAACAGGATGGGGTCCTGGGTGTCACTGTGCTTCTTCCCTGTACCTTCTGAAGTGGGCTTGATGTTCCTCACGTACCCCAACATCTCCATGTGTCTTGTGGGAAGTTGTTGCTGCAGGACAGAGGATGGGGCAAACTCACTCCATGCCTGACAAAACTTGGCCACTGCCACATCCATATGTGCCTGTCCCAGGACCTGGGGGGTGCAGGGGTACCAGCTTCTCCAGAAAGGGAGAACGGGGCTGCAGGGGGGTCTGGGAAGTGCAAAAGCCATTGGCAAACAGCGAGTGGTTTCCAGGCAGGAGCTCTCACTTGGATAGTGGGCAGCAGGAAAGGAGGTTTTACCAGGGCCTTTGGTTTTAGGTTTGAGGGAGTTATTTTTTCCTCTGGTTTTTTTTTTTTTCTCTTTTATTTTTTTCCTTTTATATTTTCTCTTTTTTTTTTCTCCTGACCTTGGCTTTCACTTTATTTGAAGGCTGCCAAAGCAGAGAAGCTGAGGCTGAGGAATGTGGGGGAGCTGAAGGAAGGAGTCCTTCACACTGACGCCTTTTGTGCTGCAGTGTGTAAAAAGCTGAGGCTGTCACTAAAATGCAAATGTGTGGCTTTTCACTGATTTAAGCTCCATTATTTTCCCAGTAAACAAGAATGCTGCATGTTTTAAAGGCTGCTTCCATCCAACATTTTGGTGTGGCTTAGTGCTGACCTCAGTCAATCACTGACAGCACATCACCATGAGACTTGGGGCTGAGGAAGGATGGTACATCCCCCTTCTCAAGATGGGAAATAGAGACTGAGAAACAAAGGTGGAACTGGGCAACTCCCAAGTGTTTGGGTGATGGTCCTATATCCTGGGCTAGGCCAGGGCCTCCCAGCCTTGCTGAAGGGCACTTCCCCATGCTCATGTCTGCAGCACTCCCCAGTAAGAAACCCCATAGCAGATGGAAGCATCACTGACCCCTTTTTGAGCTCTGAATAAGGTTTTAAATAGATCCCCTGGCAGATCTGACCCTGGAAATTGCCATTTCTCATCACCAGAGCATGGGATCACCTTAGTCCCTATCCCAGAAGCCAAAACATTTCAATATTCACTGAATCTGGGGGATTATTATCTTAAGAGCTATGTCAACATTTACATGAGAGCTCCAGCTCTTGTCCCTGCTTTTAAATACACCATTTTGGGCAGTGAAGCATCTTTTCTGACCCACTGTTTGCTGTTTTAGGCCTGCTGCAGGACTTTGTAATGGGAAATGTGCTTGCTGGGAACTCCCCCCTCTCACTTCTCTGCAAGCACAGCAGTCTCTTCCTCCCTCATATCAGCTGATTTTGAAGACAGAAAAGTATTTTGCTCCCAGCAGGCAGAGAAAGGGGAGGCCACCCATTAATGAGAGATGGAGATCTGAGCATGTCCCATTCCTCCTGGAGCTGCTGTTAGGGGATCCCATGTGTCCCCAGCAGGGTGTCACCACAGTTTGATCCCGCATGTCCCCAGCAGTAAATCACCACAGTTTCTGGGCTGCTGTGACCACGTCAGCGGGGTTGGGGAGTGCAAGCCCAGGCAGCACCACCACCCCCAATCCCTACCCCGAGGAGCCTCCAGGCTGGGATGGCTGTGTCACAGGGTAAAGTGCAGGCAGGCTGTCCCGGCGGGTCCGTGTGGCTGACATGGCAGTCCTCGACTTGTCCCTTGTACCTGAGCTTGGACTTGAAACACACCAGGGAAACCACGTCCTAAAACCACCTTCTCTCCACACCAGCTCCAAGAGCAGCTGAGGCACAGGTTCCCGTGCACGTATGGGGACGCTGGGTTTGGAGACGGTGAATGCCGTGCTGGAAGAGCACTCAAACCTCCTACACCTTGGCCCCCTCAGCTTCCCCGAAGAATTTAGTGGGGAAGGAATGCTGGAAGTCACCAAATCCAAACCCCTGCTCAAAGCAGGGCACACATGGGGCTGCCTCAGATCTGCATGTCTCAGTGCTGGACACCTGAAGCACACTTTAATCGGAGTTTCCCCTGCTGCAGCCTGGGACTGCTGCGTCCTCCCATCCCCATGCTGGGCACAGCAGTGTTTGAGGTGGGTTATATTTCCCTGAATGCTGTCCATACACGGATAGGCGAAGCGACACGTCCCCTGTCACCCCTGTCACCCCGTTACCCGGAGTGACTCCCACCCTTCCGCAGGGACGCACAGGGATTTGGGGCCGGATAAGGGGCTGGAAGGAAGAAAGGAAGCAGAGGAGCGCGATCCCTCGAGGGCTGGGGACAGGGAGTGCGAGCATTGAAGCTGCGTGAGGCGCTGCGCAGAAATTAACTCCTTAAAATTCCCCTCACGTCACCATTGCTCCTCCCGTGCTCCCCCAGATCCTTTTTTTGCTCTTTGCAGGGCTTCACGTACCTGTTGTGCGGTGTCCCGGCCGCCCCCTGCTCCCGTCCCGCCGTCCCGAGGAGCAGGATGTCCCCTCTGGCCACCCACGGCCCTCCGGAGCCGGGCGAGCAGCGGCTGCTCCCTCAGGACGCCGCCTCTGTCGCAGGCACAGCGACTGCCGGGCTCTCCCCGAAGGGGAGGGACCAAACTTTGCCTTAGTTTCCAGCTGAGACAATCTTTCTGAGAGAAATCCTCCCTGGGCCTGGAAAACAAAGTTCTGGCATGGAGCCATGCTAAGCACAGCCTGCGCGTCCCGGCGGAGCCCGCGGCTGCCGAGGTGCTGGGCCGTGCCCCGGTACGGCAGGGACAGGGTCATGTGTGGGCTCCTTGTGTGTGAGCTCTGGATCTCCCGGCTGGGGCTGGGTCAAGCAGCAGAAACCCCAAGAGAAAATTCCCCCGGATGGGTTGCAACACCCCGTGGAGGAGCTGCAATGCCTGTGGCCGGGTGAGCAGTGGGGGACGGCGCTTTGGCTCAAGGTTATGCTGTAAAAATACAAATCTTTTCCTCTGTCCTTATAAAGGGGATAACCACAGTCTAGGGAGGCAGATCCCACTTTTGGGTGTGACATCTGAGGTGGCTGCAGGGGAATTTAGCACAGGTTCCGACCTGTGGGGCAGATCTGTACTCACCCCACTTTGCATAGTCCCGGCATTTGCCCCCTCAGTAATGCTGAATTCAGGGAATTCACCTGAAGTAATAAAAGATTAATTTAGCACCAGTAATAAAAGATTAATTTTGTGAGAGATCAACAGCTGTGAAATGCCCTTATGAGCTGCAAGGCAGGCAAAGGGAGGCAGCAGGGGAGGAGGGGAGGTAGAATTTGGCTTGGCTTAAATTGCTTATTAAATTGCCCCTCTGGACTGTCTCCTTGGAGAGCTGCTGAGCTCCTGCCTTGGGATCAGCAGCTTCCCTTCCCTATGTGTATGGGTATGAGCAAAAGCTGGAAAAGAATAAGAAAGTTGTATGAAAAGTTCCAAAATGTTTTTTTCCTGTTCTCTTGTCCAGACTTCACGTCAGTGATGGGCTGGATGCATTAAAGTTTGACATTTTCAGGATAGATTTGATGCTGTTGAAAGGTGTTGGAGAACAAGTCAGAAGATTTTTTTTTTTAATCTAAAGGAACAGGTTCTTCAATGTTAGTGAGAGACAATGAGGAGGAGGAAGCAGTACACAGGTGGTTAGAGTAACAGAGATCCCATGATACTTCTTTGGCCCACTAGGGGCTCCAAAATTTAATTTTCTTTTTAATATATTCAGATTTCCCAGATGTGGAGGAGTCAAACTCAGTAGAAGACAAATATGGGTCTTTCTTTTGAATCTTATCTACACAGTCCAACCACCTAGGTGTAAAACAGGCTATGAATCTTAGTTTAAGACCATTCATCCTTGCCCTATCATCTCTTTTATATGCTTAATTATTATTATCCCTTTTTATAATTTTCACCATCAGAGGATGCTTGCATAGATGTTGCTGATTTTCTCTGCAATAAAATGCTACCAGTAAGAGATCTGCAGCACTGGCAAGGGAGGAGCCAGTTCCCATGGTTAGTGAGCACAACAAACCTGTGGCAAATGTTCAATGTGGCTTTAGCTACAAGTCCTTTATATAAAGGACTGCACTTTGCTGTAGATTTCTGTGTCTACAGACCAAAAGTCACCATCAGTCTGTGATCACTGGTTTGAAGATTTTTTTTTTCCCCCTGTCATTCCTTTTACCCTTTTTTGGACAAATCTTGGTTTCTCACGGTGCCTGTCTCATTTTTAATCCAGGTGCTGCTTGACCTATTGAAGCTGCTGAGAGGAGCTGCTCATCAGTGAACACCATTAAATGACCATTCCTCTGTTACCAGGTGCCTTCTTGCAGCATGACAGAGCTCCATGAAGCCGTGGCTGTGGGTGACTATGACCTGGTGAAAAAGATTTTGAAGGCAGGGCGCTGTGACCCAAACCAGAAGGATGTCGACTGGCATGACAGGACTCCCCTGCACTGGGCTGCTGCCAAAGGTAAGAGCACCCCCACTCTCCACTACCTCTGTAAATGGACATCATAAAAGGTGATGCTGACCACCTGTGATTGTATCTAGGCTGGCAAAATCTCAGCTTGTGTTTGGTAATTTTGTCCCTAATGTGCAAAAAAAAAGTTAAATGTGCATTTAAATGGGAACTTTGCCTACAAAATAGTTTATGAGACTGCTGTTGAAGTGATTTTTAGCTTTTTTTCTTCCATCACACAACAATTTGCAATTTACATGATGTACACATTGGGAATGGCTGCTTTTCCCCCCTTACTTTTCTAAGACATGACTCCCTGAGTTTTTTTCTCATGTACACCCGTGGGAAAGAGCAGGAGGTCAAACCCACTGTATTTGCACCAGGTATTTATCAAACCAAACAGAACAAAATAATAACTGTGTTTTTACATTGCTCTTTATATCCCACGTGATTGAATGAACAATGCAGGACCAGAGCTGCTTGCAGCTCCCATTTGTCCTTCACCTTCAGAAGTGTCTGATAAACTCAAATATCCCTTTGCAGCCCAAAAACAGATGATGCAACAATAAATAATGTATAATTGCACACAGTGTAAAATGGGAAACTGGACCTCTACTTCTCTGTGCTACAGTATTTGTTGGGATCTCATGTCATCATATCTGTCTTTGCTCAGAAATCAAGTGTGTGATTTCCATTTTACACTTAAGACCATGTTTTTGTTTTGTCCTGATGGATTATCAGGCATTTGAACATTAGCAAAGGGGACTGATCTTCTTAACAAAAATGATGGTGAGAAGCTGACAGAGCCTAGATGTAATTTGGAATAGTCAATCTCGGTCAAGGCAGTGTGAAATGGTGTAGAAATAATTTTTTTTTTGCTTCTTTAAGCAATTCCATTGGTTAGAAAAATGTGAAAGTGAATGAAAAAGTAGTTTCTCAACTTGCTATCCAAAAAAACTCTGTTTTAGTAAAGCTGTTCACAGGTTTTCCCATTCTCAATGTTTAAATTTTATTTTGCAATTGAACTAAAAACCAAAATGAAACAATGAAATAGCTAATTGGTCAATGACTAATTGAGATGTGCTGTTCAGAAATTAAAAAGCTTTTTGATTTGGTTGGTGTTTTTGTTGTAAATTTCTTCTGGAAACAGTCGAGTTTGGGAGAAAATAGAAAATAATAGCATTTTCTATTCAGTATCCCTGATATGATAAACCTAATAGTCAGGTGGGTGAAATCTGTGTCTGAGGGAATTATGACCAGCTGTGTGTGACCGCCTTGTGCATCCTGAAGCTATAAATTGTAAAGCATCTGCTCTCCTGGTTTTGCTGCGCGTCGCCAGGGCGGTCAGACCTGGTCAGGCTCCTGGTGGATCACGGTGCCCGGCACTGCCTGCGGAGCGATGTGGGCTGGACCGCGGCTCACTTCGCTGCCGAGGCGGGGAAGCTGCGGGTGCTCCGCGCCCTTCACTCCCTGCACGCTGCTATGGATGCCGCCGACCTCTTCGGAGACACTCCCCGGAGGCTCGCGGAGATCTACGGACACCGGGAGTGCTCCAAATTCTTGGAAAAGTGAGTAGTGGTGGCAGGCCTCGCTGCGGCTGCACTGAAAATTAACTTCGCTGCTCCACAGAGGACCACAGAATACGCAAAGTGTGTTACTTATCTTCCCACCCAAAGCCTGCTAAAGCCCTGACACACAAGCTGTAGTGGATGAGCAAACACGGGCCTGTCACGGGGAAGCCGTGAGAAGACATTCTTTTATTCCCCTGCCTCCTGCGGTTTCCCTTGGTATGTTTTCAAAATCGTTACCACTTCATGACATCATTGTTTTTGTAAGGATATTGCAGAGCCATTATTAAGCAACAGAAATGAAAGCAACAACTGACAAGTGTTAACCCCTTACAGTGGTGAATAGCAAATACACGGGTTGAGTTGTTTAGGAACAGCCCTCGGCAGCTCTGTGTGTGTGTCTGCGTGTGTATATATATTTATGTGTATATAATTTGGCTTTCTTATAGTAAAGAAAAAAAGCCACCCTATTTTTTTACATAATCACTGTAAATTAGACCAGTTAATAGGATGGTCATATAGTACTTCCAAATTTTGGGAAAATCTTTGTTGTCTTAATTACTTACAGTTAGCACTGTGGCAGCACATGCCATAATAAATATGTTTTTTAATGGTTCCCAATTACCATTCCTGTTTTTCAGCTGTTGGCTCGGCTCACAGGTATTTTCATCCTTGCAAAGGTGTTTCCCTGGATCAGGATGCTTTACTGCAGAGGTTTGAGCTGTGTCCCATCCTTCATCTCTCTAAAGGAGTGGGACAGATCACCAGAGGCCAACCAGCTTGTTCAGTGCAACCACAGTCCCAACACTACTTTACTTGAACACATTGCCCATGAAAGATACACGTGCCAGACCCTGGAGTGCTGAGAGCTCCCAAAAGTGTTTTCTCCCTGGGTTTTTCTGTCACATTACAGTCCCATCATCATCCTTCACTGGCACCTCTTCCACATTCTCAAGACTGCTTTGGAACCATATATATCCTGTTTGGTTTTTTTTTAAATAGGCATTTATCCAACTCAAAGTCTTCAGCTTGTCAGTGCAGCACACAAGCTGCCAAGTTTGAAATCAGGCATGGTGACAGGCAAATATCTGAGGAGGCCAGTGCTTGACAAATGCCACTTTTCATTAATCCATATAAACTTTTCTGTAGGTACTGCTGTCCTTCTGTTGTACTTCTTCAGCTTGGTTCCTGCTGAAATGCCCCGTGCCCACCTTTTATCTTGACACATCAGAGTCCTTCCATAATAAAAGACAACCAAACTGTGCAAAATTCCCCTGTACAGAGCCCAGAAAACTTTGTCGTGGAGACACAAGCTCTGGTTTCCAAGCTCTGGCTGTTGGAAGCTGCTAATAGCTTTGCATTTTACCTGCCCACCCAACACAGAATCATAGAATAGTTGGAAGGGACCTTACAGCTCATCTCATTCCAACTCCTTACCATGGACAGGGACCCCTTCCACTAGACCAGATTGCTCAAAGGCCTTTCCAGTGTGATGGAGCTGAACACTGCCAGAATGGGGCATCCAGACCATCTTAGAGCTAAAGTCTTTTTGGTTTTGGAACTGACATGCTGTAATCTCCCACTATTCACCACTTTCCTTCCACACAGATGCATCAGCTCTTCTTACTCTCAGACCTTCAGTTTAAAGGCATTTAGGCAGCCAGCAGCTGATAATGAAGCTTGGCAAATTAGATTTTTTTACTACTTAGCCAGTGTCTAGGTAGTAAAGCTCAGGTCTGCCAGACCTTTGAGAATGGGGCATTGTCTTCCAGTGGAGATTCTCTTTATACTCTTCTCAGCTCTTGGCATACTTAGTTTCTATACCAGAACAGGTAAATATTATCTAACCCAGAGGGTGAAAGTCTGCAGACTTCTGCCCCTTGCATGAAAAATTTATACCAATTACTTGCCTATTCAATGCTGTCTGTTTTGCACTAATCTCACCAGTAATTCCTGCCAAGTCTGTAGCATTTGCTGTGCCCTGAATGTGCTCCAGAGCCATGGGAGCAAGGGGTAGGGGAATTGCCTGGATGATGCCAAAGGGCAATGCCTGTGGCAGGCAGAGGTGCCTGGGAGAATGATTGACATCGTGGTCTGAGACACCTTAGCAACAGCCCATGGTGACTCAGGTCAGCTGCTGAAGGGCTTTCTGAGGTGAATGACTCAGATTTAAGGTGGAAAACTCATGATTTAAGGTGGAAAACTTGTCTTTCAGAACCACATGCTGGCCTGACTCACCCCACATCTGCATGGCTCAGCGTGGCTGGCAGATCTAATGACTAGGAAGATGCTTCAAATGCCCAGTCTAGAACACACACAGAGCCTGTACAATCACCTCATGGCCATAACCCAGCCTGTGGGCAGCCAAGAGTTTATCACTGAGGCTCAGGAATACTTTTTAAAACCAGCCACTATCATTTATGACCACAGTGGATGCTTTCACCCTCACACACTGGTGTCACATCAGCCAACTTGGAGTAAACTAGGAGGAACAGTTGTCACTTGTAGTGTAATTTCAATTACCATCTGCTCCTTCAGATGTGCAGAAGCTCCGAGAGGTGATGTCCAGGGTCAGGCAGTGCCAAAGGGTACAGGGCAGTACTGTGTACGCCTGAGACAGAGAATTAAGAGTGTGCTTGCACAAAATGCTGTGCAGCACAGAGCATCTCTGCTCTCCACACAGTGGTGTGTGTGGGATATACATAGTAGGAACATTTTGTTACATACCATCCCCGTCAGATTTGGATATTTGCCTGTCATGCAAAAAGAGAGAAAAAGCAATTTTTAAAACCATCTGAGGGTCTGCACCAACTGTAGGGCTGATGTGCATATCTACATAGGCCTATGAGCATCCAAATCCTTCATTAATCCAAATTCAGCCCCCTCTAGCACCACGTGACCCTTGCATGCTGTTTGTTGGTCCCCAGGTGGTGCCAGCTGCATGAACTACCTGGGCTGGGCCACTGAATTATGCTGAGGACTGCACCCACATGGAAATATTACATGTATCAACATGGAAATATTATTAACATGCAAATATTAGGAATATTCCGCTGCTGAGTATCAGTACCACTCACTGAGGTTTGCATGAACATGCAAAAGTTAGGAAACAGCTGCTTTCAAAACAGCTGCTTCTGAATAGCAAATGTGTATTTTGCATTAGATTTGGTTTGTGTGAAAAGGGCTTTACTCTTGATGCTATGAGACCTGCCAAGAAGGGGAGAGAGACCCCTCAGCCTGTGTCTGCTGCCAGCCTCTCTGCAAAGTGCCAGCTGTTGAAATTGCACCAAAGGGTCCTGCTGTCTAAGAGCAGGGCATACATATACTCATGTATAAATAAATAAATAAATAAATAAATAAATAAATAAATAAATAAATAAATGTTAATATTTAAAAGTTTATAGAAAAATATTTCTTGCCCTTGGGAGCAGATACTTAATAGAAGACAATAGGGTAGTTCAGTTGGAAGGGACCTACTGCTAATCCCATGGCCTGACCACTTCAGGACTGACCAGAATTCAAAGCATCTTATGAAGGGCATTTTCCAAATGCCTCTTAAACACCAGCAGTCATGGGACATCAACCACCACTGCCAAACATAAGCTCTGTGGAGACCTTAGAGCACCTTTCAGTACCTGAAGAGAGCCTACAAGAGAGGTGGAGAGGGATTTTGGACAAGGGCATGGACAAGGGGGAATGGCCTGGGTAGGTAGGATTAGATATATTAGGAATAAATTCTTGACTGTGAGGGTGGTGAGGCCCTGGCACAGGTTGCCCAGAGAAGCTGTAGCTGCCCCATCCCTGGAAGTGTTCAAGGCCAAGCTGGGTGGGGCTTTGAGCAGCCTGGTCTAGGGGAAGGTGTCCCTGTCCATGGCAGAAGGTATAGAATGAGATAATGTCCCTTCCAACTGAAACCATTCTGTGATTCTATGACATAGAAAGCCCACGTGATGAGATGCATCAATATGGAGCTGCTGACTTTGCTCTGTGCTGGCAGCTAGAACAGCATTGCACTCATGTGACAGAAATGTTCTATTACAGAAAAAAAGGATTTTTCCTGATATTGGATGGTGTTTCTGACAGAGATTCCTGAATCCTGAGTGCCTACAAAATCAGAGTCCTGCAGAAGGAGGAAAGGGTTTGTCTTCTCTTGGGCAAGACTTACACTTGGAATGTCCATGTCTGGATGCAGGCAGTGCTGGGGCCCAGGGGCTCCTTGTGAGGGGAGGTTGGGGCTGCACCATGCTGGGCACACTGTGGTGTTTCTCAAGTGTTGATGGCATCAGGGTTTTGACCAGACCAAGACACAACCCCTGACCCTGCAGATGGGCATCTGTGAACAGAGATGTGTGTGCTGTGCTCACTCTTGGTTTCTCTCCCAGAGCAGAGGTGCAGAGCAGGAACTACCGCAGGAAAGCTGCACTGAGAAAAATACCCTTAGACCAGAGAGATGAAGACTGGGAACTCAAGAAAGAAGAGCTTAAGAAAAATCCACCATGTTTTTGGGAGAAGTGTACAGCCTCTATTCTAAAGAAACATGGGGGAAAAAAGGGGAAGCAGTAGTGTGCCCTGCCTGTTTGGTGCCTCTAATCCTTGCAATGCAGAGCAAAGGCACTGGCAGACCTCAGGTGGATCTTTAGTGTGATATTTGGGTGAATGGAAGAAGCAGAAGGCTACAAGAGTGCATCCTTAAAGATACACTGTAAACAATCTCCTTAAGAGCTAGGAATGCTTCAGCCTCTCTGTGTGTTTCTATGTACCTGATCTCAAAAATAAAAACAACTGAAGGATATGTTTAAATGTACCAATATTGTAAATCACTGCAATGTTTAGAGTTACTGCAATGGAATTTACACATATTGCCAGGGAAAAAAATAGTCTTGATCCTACCTGATTCACAAAAGCATCTCGGACTGTGGTTCTGCTTGCTCTGCTGATGTCTGTGGCCTTTGCATCTTTGCTTCTGTCATTGAGTCAACCAGGAGGTTCTACATGGGCTTGCAGCCTCTGGTGATGCCTGTCTCATTTCTTGGAAGTGGGATGTACTTGCCTCTTCTGGATGAAGCTGAGATGTTAATGCTGAGCTTTCACTCGACACATGGGTCCAACAGCCTGAATCTTCCATTCCTAGCCCAGCAAAAGGGAAAATGTGCTCCTCCCTTGCTGCTTTCAGACAGCTGTGACTACCAAGGGTACTGGAGCACTGCCTTTTTTTTTAGCATTGTCTCCAGCCATTTTCATGTTTCTAGAAATAGAAATGGTGTGCAAGTGGTACTGAGTTCTGCTTCTGCTCATCAAAGCTTTCCATGGCAAAAGCATTTTTAACACTTTCTCTTCTCAGTCATAAAGACTTGGAATGTGACCCAGAGCAGTTTTCCATCCTGGGCCAGCACTGAGCAGCCATTCCCATTGATTTCTGGCACCTCTCATGTGTCAGCTTCTCCAGGCTGGGCACATCCTGCATCTGTCCCCATGGGCTGTGCAGGGTGGCTGTGCTGATGGACCCCTGTCCCCTGCAGTGCCAGCTGAGTGGGGCTGGTGCACAGGACAGGGATCCTGCTGGCTGTCACATTCTCAGAGGTTTCATGGGGATGGAAGAATGGATCTGCAGTGTGGTTCACTGGGGCTGTGGTGTTTTGTGTGGTAACATGTGCAAGGTGCTGGGTTTTGCCTGCTGAGTTTTGTGGCATGTGAGGTTGTGAGGGATGGATGTTGCAATGGATGTAGGGTATGAGATGGATCTTCCAGGGCTTTCCTGTGAAAGTGGTCAGGTTTGTCATGTTAAAGGATGAAGTGCATGAGCAGCAGTAGGGGAAAGAGGGATGTGTGGCTTTTTTTGTCCTTTCAAGGTCTTTCACAGGGGAGATGTGTCCAGAAGAGATGCTTACAATCTGCCTCTGGACCTGAGCTGGTGGTAAAAGTGACCAGTTCAGGTTCTGCTCCATTCTGCATGTTTCACCTGCTGTGATGGGTTGCCCTCAGGGAGCAGCCAGATGCCCACTCAGCTGTTCCTTCACTGTCACCCATAAATGGGGTGGAAAATAGGATGGAAAGCTGATGGATGAGAAAAATAGAGTGAAATCACTAACCAGTTACTGTCACAGATGAAACAGACTTGATGTGCAGAAAATGAATTTATTTACCCACTAAAAGTACAGTAGGATGATGAGAAATAAACACAAACTAGAACCCGCTGCCTGCACCACTCTTTCATCTGAAGCTCAACTTCCCTCCTTCATCCCCAGCTCTTCCACCTCCTCCCCCACAGCAGCACAGGGAGAAGGAAAATGAAAGTGCAGTCAGTTCACAGTAAGTTGTCTCCTCCACTCCCTTTTCATGCTGTTTCCCTGATCCAGAACAAAACTTGGGTGTTTCACTGAGCCGGAGTGCACTGGGAAAAGCCAATCTCATCTCCAGGTCAGAGCAGGCCAGGAGAGCAGTCCCACAGAGCAGGCAATCCTGTCCTTGCAGGCAGTGAGGCACAGAGGACACGCAGGGCTGGAGTGGGAAGGGGGCTCTGCACCCCCTGAGCTCCCCAGGGCCGTTCCTGCCTCGCTCTTTGTGGCTCAGTGACCACCTCTGGTGAGTGACAGGGCTCAGCGTGTTCACACTGAGCTATCAGCCACTGCCAGGCACTGATACAGCCCATAATATATCACACAGAAGGGCCACAACAGAAAGAAATGTGTTCAAAATAGAGAGAAACCCTGCAGTTTATTTCAGTTGTTTCATTCAGAAAATGCCAGAGCATTTGGTGGCCAGTTTGCAGTATTTTTACTACCCTTTTACAGCCAGCCCCTGTACCAGGTCTAAATAAACTTTGTTACTGACAATAATTAAACTCAAATAATTATCTACATGAAATTATAATTGAAAATATATTGTGTAAGTCACATTAATTTAGTTCATAGTATTTGAATTATATATTCTTAATATCAGTGATGAGAACATTTGTATCACATACAATGCTTGGAAAGTTGCACTAGAGATTAAACTACTTGTTTTCTATAATGTAATATTACCATTTTGCATGGGCTCCAGATTTTATTACAGCTCCTAACTCATGCAAACCTTGCGTTTTACACTTCTTTCTAAGGGAAGAATCTTTAGCAGTGCCTTTTCTAATTTGGGATTGCTGAAAACCAGAATAAGGGAGTGAAGACCCGGAAAAATGTACTGAAATACTAAAATGAGGAATGTCAGTTGATTTGCCTTCTTTGTGACATAAACCATATTTAAGACCAAACATACAAAGTTGATACTGTAAACCACTAAGAAGGAGAAAATAGATTTCATGGCTCTGATGTGGGCATCCATGCTGAGGTCCTTCGTGGAGTTGGTCTGCATTGTGCGCTTGTGTCTCCAGAGAGAAAAGAGAAGGAAAACAGCAGAAAAGATGACTACCAGGAATGAAGCAGCATATTCAAAGCCAGCGAGAAAAAAAGAAGGGAAAAAATGTTTATCCATTTTGATATTTGCTGTCCCCAAATTTCCTTGTCTTGTGGAATTTCTGTTGCAGTGCGGTTTATCAGCGATGTCATAGGCAACGATGCCGACAGCCAAAGCTAAAATCCCTGATCCCAACAAGAGCCCGGGCACCATCCTGTCAATTTTTACTTTCAGGTAGATGAAGAAATTGTTCCTGAAATTGGCAATTTTTATACAATAAAAACCACAAAGAGAGGCTGAAAACCACAAGTTGCACTGATTAAAAAAGGATTGAAAAAATACAGCTAGTTGAAGTATGGTTTGAACATAAAGGTAATTGGGATAAATAAAGGAAAGAAATTTATATATCCAGGCGATGCACAAATACCAAAACCTGGAGCATCCCAGCAGCAGCAAGATCTTCTCATTAGAGTTCAAGGTTTTCTTTTTGACCCAGGCAATGCAAAGCACACAAACGATGAAAGCATTTATCCACATGCCAGGAAATGCCTCCACGGTGATGATGGCCACAGTTAAGACCCCATATGAAGTGACATTGAATTGCTGTGGAGGGTGACAAGCTTCCATGGTGCGAGCTGGGGAGCAGAGCTGTGCTGGCCAAGGGGGCTGTGGCAGCAGAGCCTGAGGCAGGTCAGTGGCTGCTGTTGGTGGAGTGTCAGGGATGGCAAGAGGAGCTTTATAGAGCTGCTGCTGCTGCTGGGGGGGATTTTGGTGCCGCTGCTGTGGGCAGCAGGGCAGGTGCAGGGATGTAAATGTGCTGGGTATCCCCTTACCCGGGGCCACTCTTGACTATTTGAATGTTGGTTTGGGGGGGATGTGCTGGGTGTCACAAACAGCACAGATGTTCTTCTGCGGTGTTGTGATTTTGATACTGATTCCTGCTTGATCAGTGTCTGGCTTGAGGATCTGGGTTCTTCTGATCCTTTGTCACCTACTATGTCCAATTTTATTTTTGATTGCATTAATTTTTAAATGTTATTTCTTTTGGTGTTTTTTTTTTTTTACATTTATGATGGGCAGACTATATGCCTTGAGGGAATTTTTGATTTCCTGATAGTGCCTGTTCTCCGCTTAAGGCTTTGATGTGAGTTTCCTCCTCTTTTCCTGAATGAATAGAAAACCTCTGTGGGGTTGTTGGGGTTTTTTTCCTTGTTTGTTTGTTTGCTTGATTGCTTGCTTCTTTCTTCTTCTCTCCATATCTTTGTGAATAGAACTTATTTCTATTACAACTGGTGTGTAGTTGAACTATCTGGGCTGCGACTGTGCAGGACCACACCATGGCTGAATTTTGGGCTCAGCTCTGCATGGGGAATCTGGCCACTTGAAAACAAAATAATTTAAAATCAGAGTCTCAAATACCAGGTTTTCAATGCATGGAATGTGTGGATTTGGTCTTTAACATGCAGGGTCTGCTTTTAGTTCAAAGCCATCCCCTCCAGTGTCATTGGAGAAGGGGGGAGATTCACCAAGACTTTGTACCTACCACACCCTGTGGAGACTGTGTGGTCTTGGGAAAAGGAAATATTGTAGTGATTAAGATGTTACTCTGGTTTAAAAGGTTGCTTCTTTCATTTCATGAACAGGAGCAAATCTTTTTGAAGGTGATAATATGAAAAATACACACCTGGCACTGAGTATGCACTAAATTGTCCCTCTGAATTAGAGCTGGTGAAAGAAATGAGCAGTTAGATTCTGTTCTGTTGATGCTGGAATTATTTAATATTTACATGACCTTTTGTGGATTGTTAAACTTAGACACCTGCCAGACCCTCCACCCGGCCTCTTCTTCACTCTTGCTCTGCAACAGGTCAAGAGGGAAAATAGAAGATGGAAAAGCTCATGGGTTGAGATAAGGACAGGGAGATCACCCACCAGTTACTTTCACGGAGAAAACAGACTCAAAATTAATTTAATTTATTCCTGCTTGAATATAGAATAGGATGGGGAGCAACAAGCACAAAACTAGAGAACTGTCCTTCCACCCTTCTTCATCACAGCTCAAAATTCACTCTTTCATTCCCAGCTTCTCCACCTCCTCCCCGACATGGTGTAGGGTGACATTGAATAGCGGTTGCAGTGAGTCCGTAAAAAGTTTTCTCATCCACTACTTCCTCTTCATGCTCTCTTCCCTGCTAGAGCGTGGATCCCATCTGTGGGCTGCAGTCCTTGAGGATCAGATGTCTCCAATATGGGCGCTCCTCAGACTGCAAATTTTTCAAGTTGCACCCACCCTACCCAGTGTTACAAGTGATAATATTGCAAAAAACAGAGACACAGCAGAAAGAAATATAAACCCAAACACAAATAAACCTGATGCTAATTAAGTCATTTTTCAATCAGCAATTGCCAAAGCTCTTGAGGAAGGTTTGCAGTACTCTTATTGCCCCTTTGCATCCAGCCCATGTACCAGATCTAAATGAATTTGTTATTGACAAGAATTGAACTCAAAGAATTACCAAAATGAAGTACTGGCAATAATCTAATTCATACTCATTTGGCTCAAAGAATTTGAAAGATTTATTCTTAACTTCAGTGCTAAAGAAAGAACATCTGTATCATCTACACTGCCCAGAGAGTTGCCTTAGAGATAAATTGACTTGTGTCTTATAATGAAATACCAAGATTTTGTGTGGGCTCCAGCTTTTATTACACTTCCTACCTCATGCAATCCTTGTGCACTTGACACAGGATAGAATCCTTATCAGTGTCTTTTCCAGTTTGGGATTGCTGAAAATCAGAATAAGGGAATGAACACCTGGAAAAGCATACAGAAATACTAAACTAACAAGTGCCACATACTTTTCTTTCTTTGTTGAAGGAATTAGTGACAGAATCAAAAATATAAAGTTAATACTATACATTATAAAAAAGGAGAGAATAGATTTCATGGCTTTGATGTGGGCATCAATGCTGAGGCTGTTCATGGAGTTTTTCTGCATCTTGCATTTGTGTCTCCAGAGAGAAAAGAGAAGGAGAAAGGCAGAAGAGATAACTGCTGTGAAAGGTGTGACAAATCCAAAGCCATAGATAAAATAAATCTGGAAAAAATTTTCATCCATTTTGCCTCTAACTTTTGAAAAATTTCCTTGCCCAGTGGAATTGTGGTTGATACTGAGCTGTGTAACAGCGATGTCATAGGCGATAATGCCAATAGCCAAGGCTGAAAGCAATGATGCCAACAAAAGCCAGGGCACAATCCTGTCTGTTTTTACTTTCAGGTAGATGAAGAAGCTGTTCCTGAAATTGGCAATTTTTACACAATAAAAAACACAAAGGCAGGCAGAAACCCACAAGTTGGAACAATTAAAAGAGCTTTGAAAAAATACAATTAGTTGAAATGTGGGTTGAACAAAAAGGTAATTGGGAGAAGTTATTGAAAGGGAGCAATATACCCATGAGAAGCACAAATACCAAAACCTGGAGCATCCCAGCAGCAGCAAGATCTTCTCATTAGAGTTCAGGGTTTGCTTTTTGACCCAGGCAATGCAAAGCACACAAACGATGAAAGCATTTATCCACATGCCAGGAAATGCCTCCAGGGTGGTGATGGCCAAAGCCATGGCCCCATATGCAGTGACATTGAATTGCTGTGGAGGGTGACAAGCTTCCATGGTGCGAGCTGGGGAGCAGAGCTGTGCTGGCCAAGGGGGCTGTGGCAGCAGAGCCTGAGGCAGGTCAGTGGCTGCTGTTGGTGGAGTGTCAGGGGTGGCAAGAGGAGCTTTATAGAGCTGCTGCTGCTGCTGGGGGGGATTTTGGTGCCACTGCTGTGGGCAGCAGGGCAGGTGCAGGGATGTAAATGTGCTGGGTATCCCCTTACCCAGGGCCAGTGTCACTCTTGACTATTTGAATGTTGGTTTGGGGGGGCTGTGCTGGGTGTCACAAAGAGCGGAGATGTTTTTCTGCAGTGGAGAGTGTTTTGATGTTGATACTGATCCCTGTTTGATCAGTGTCAGGCTTGAGGATCTGGGTTTTTCTGTCTCTTGGTAACTTCCAATAAAGAAGTCTGTTTTGGATGTGTTCATTCAAAACTATTCTTTATTTTGGTTTCTTTTTATATTGATGGTGGGTAGAGCATTGTCTTGAGGGAATTTTAATTTCCTGATATTCCTGTTGTCTGCCTTATGCTTTGATGTGTGTTTCCTCTATGGTTTTGCTGATAGAAGAAAAACGTAGTATAGGATAGGGAATTTCCTTCCTTCCTTCCTTCCTTCCTTCCTTCCTTCCTTCCTTCCTTCCTTCCTTCCTTCCTTCCTTCCTTCCTTCCTTCCTTCCTTCCTTCCTTCCTTCCTTCCTTCCTTCCTTCCTTCCTTCCTTCCTTCCTTCCTTCCTTCCTTCCTTCCTTCCTTCTTCCCATATGTTTGTGAGATGTATGAAAGTTATCTCTATTGCAACAGGAAGGTGAATATGAACTGCCTGTGCTGGGACTGATCTTGTACAGGGATATTAAATGAAAATTTTAATTAATTAAATTAAATTGCAACACAATACCATGGTTGGGACCTGACCTCAACTCTTTGTGGGGAATATTTCACTTTAGAAAAATAATGCTATAGAATCAGAGTCTCCAATGCTGGATTTTCAAGCATGAAGATACGGATCAGGTGCTTGACACGCAGGTGTTTTCTGCTGGTTCAAATCCACCCCCTCCAGAATATTTTGAGAAAAGGAAGGGTTATCCAACACTTTGTATCTCCAACCCATGAGTATATTTTGGATGCCCTTGTGCATCTCAAATGGCACAAGACTCCTGTTTTTGTTCATCTGGATGGACACTCAGCTGTATTGGCATCTGAATCACGTCATACAAATAATAAATTGGTACAATCTGTGCTTGTTCAGGCAGAGCTGCTTTCCTCTCCAGAATCTGTTTCTTTCTCCTTTATGACATGGGGAATCCCAGATGATTAGCCTTAGTTAGCTAGCTAGTTAGGTGAATGGTTGCCTAAATTCTGGCCCATTCCATTACAGCTGTGTATCAACTCTAATGCACAATGTTATGTTTATGTCCTTAACAACTGGAAAGAATGCTCTGAGAAACAGTTCCCACAGAGGAAAATTTCCCATTGCCCCTATCCCAGGTGACACCCTGGCAAGCAAGATTTTTTTGTTGTGGAATCCCTGTATGACTTGCCTTAGATAAAGCCTGCTTTTTCCAGATCTCCAGTCTGCTTATCCTGTACCATTTTCAATTGAGTAATGGCTGTGTCACTGCTGTGTTACTGCTGGCCAGCCCGAGCAGTGCAGGTCTGCCCCAGCAGATGTTCCCAATGTGCCCTGGTGATAACCCAGATGCTGAGGAGTGGCAGATTGAACTGGTATCTGTGAATCTGGCTGAGATCTCCATCCAGATAATGAGGTCAGGAAATCCTAATCTCAAGAACCTGCATGCTGATCTCCTGCACCCTTCCTGCCTTATCTCTTCTTAACAGTCCCAGCTCACTACAAGCAGGGAGGAAATGCAGATATTTTGCAAGTAAAATAATTCAGAGCATCCTCCCTTCTTGTTTTCACCTAATTTTGGCACTTTTTTAAATTCACCAAAAAAAGAAGTATATAAACCTGACATGGTGCAGCAGTGCATCTGTGTCAAACCTCTGACTTTGCTCCATGCTCTCAGCCAGGACAGCATTGCACTGATGTGACAGAGCTGCAGTATTAAAGAAAAAAAGGATTTTTCCTGATATTGGATGGTGTTTCTGACAGAGATTCCTGAATCCTGAGTGCCTACAAAATCAGAGCCCTGCAGGAGGAGGAAAGGGTTTGTCTTCTCTTGGGCAAGACTTACACTTGGAATATCCATGTCTGGATGCAGGCAGTGCTGGGGCCCAGGGGCTCCTTGTGAGGGGAGGTTGGGGCTGCACCATGCTGGGCACACTGTGGTGTTTCTCAAGTGTTGATGGCATCAGGGTTTTGACCAGACCAAGAAACAACCCCTGACCCTGCAGATGGGCCCCTGTGAGTGCAGCTGTGTCTGTGCTGTACAGGTGGAGAGCAGGAACTGCCACAGAGGAATCCCCCTTAGACCAGAGAGATGATGACTGGGAATTCCAAAAAGAAGAGCTTGAGAGAAACCTGCCATGTTTTCTGGAGAACTGCACAACCTCTGCTCAAAAATGGAACTAAAAGGGAGAAGCAGTAGTGTGTTGTGTCTCTTTTGTAGCCTCTGGTGGTGCCTCTCTTTTTTTGGTAGTGGTGTTGAAGTGGTGCTTCCCCCTCCCCTTTTCAGGCTGTGATTTGAGAAATGCTCGTTAGGCCTCAGCCTTGGTGAGCAGCACCTGGGCCCAGCTCCTCTTGAGCTTATCAGAGCTACTGTGTGCTCCCAGGAACTGCTGCTGCCTAATGAGATCCTGGGCTTTTTTTATCAACAGCCTAAGAAATCACTTTTTTTGCCTGAATGGCAGAACATCCTGGTTCTCACACTTTCAAAGAAGGAGTGTCGAACTGAAGTGCAGCCAGGAAGAAACATTGTTATGACTAAAACCCATTTTCTTGCAGCCCTTTAGACAAACATGAGAGTCCAAAATGAGACCCTTTGAGCTCTCCTAGCGTGCCATGACCAGTGAGGCCTCACATAGGTGGGAACTCTCAAGTTTGCTGCACTTGGAGATCCCTGACCAACAACCTGATCCTGGGCATATCCCCCACTCCTTGAGGCTCAACTCTTGGCCTGGTGATGAGATGTAAAGACATCCAAAGCAAATATTTCACTGCCTTTGAGGGGAATTTTTCACAGGTACCTTGCAATGACTCTGTCTGCGTGCATACATGTGTGAATGTGCTTTGACAAATATGGGAGAAATGCTGCTCTCTTAGATGTTTAAGTATCTTAGATATTTATGTAAGTTAGGCCTGTAAATAAGTTTAATATAAGCTAAAAGCTAAGTTAAATGCTGTTAAGTGTTATTCCTTTGCTAAATTGTTAAATTTAAGAAGAAAGTTAAGTACTTTTCAGTGCTGTTAAGCTTTGAGGCTGTATTCCTTTTTATCCTTGCCCTTTCTACCATTTTGCTGCACACACCTAAACACTCACTAACACACACACATAAACACACAGAGATAGTCCTTGGTTCATTTCTGTTTTGATTGATGGGATTTTTTTTCCCTGTTTTTTCCCTTGGTGTGCCTTAACTATCTAGGAAGTAGTAGAGTGAATCTTGCCAACAAACTTCATCATGCTCTTGCTTATTATTAAATCTGTTTTTTACTGATACCCCTGCCAGTGATTTTTGAAGCAATCTCAAGCACCCATTTTGTAACATGTAGTTGTTACATGCCTTCCTTAGCAGATACCTGTAGTTCCCCCTTCTGGCTGAAGGGGAGACATTGGTGTTGGGCTTTCTTTGGACATGTGGGTTGAACAGGCCGTAACTCACATTCCTGGCCCAGCAAAAGGGAACAGATGCTCAACACTTCTTTCATTTCTCTGTGACTTCCAAGAGCATTGGAGCACTGCCTTGTTTTTAGCAGTGCCCCCAGCCCCTTTTATGACTCTGCTCAGGGGAATGGTGTGTCCAAAAGATCTTGGGCTTCAGTTCCTCACTTGTCTGAGGGAGGCCTCAGATATTTGGTCTCCACCTCTGGCAGATACTTTCCTCCTGGGAGAACAGGAGGCCAAACAAACCCTGCCAAGAATGGGTGGAAAATGCACCACTAGCACCAGGCACAGGAAAAAATGTCCCTCTGTGCCCAAGCTAGTGACAGAAATGAACAAAGCAGATTCTGCTCTGCTCATGCTGGAATTCTTTCATGTTCAGAGAATATGCTGGGGTTTGTTGAGCTTGGGTGGGTGCCATGCCCCCACCTAGCTGCTCTTTTATTCTTGTTCTGCAATAGGCCAAGAGGAGAAGAGAAGGTGCTACTGTCATGGAGAAAACAGACTTGAGTTGAGAAAAATGAATTTATTTTATTGGCTATTGATAATAGAGTAGCATAATGAGCAACAAACATAAAACTAGAACCCTTTGCCTTCTCCTCTTCATCTTCGCAAATTAAAATTAACTCTTTCATTCCTGGCTTCTCCAGTTCCTCTGCCACAGTAGTGTGGGGGGATGGGGAATGAAGGTTGCAGTCAGTCCATAAAAAGTTTTCCATTCCTTCCTCCTCACTTTCTCCCATGCTCAAGTGTGAATCCCATGGGCTGCAGTCCTTCAGGATCATGGCAGCTTTGAAAGACTGCCATAGCCTGCAGTCTTTCAAGTTGCACCCACCCTACCCAGTGTTACAAGTGATAATATTGCAAAAAACAGAGACACAGCAGAAAGAAATATAAACCCAAACACAAATAAACCTGATGCTGAGTTAAGTCATTTTTCAATCAGCCAATGCCAAAGCGCTTGAGGAAGGTTTGCAGTACTCTTATTGCCCCTTTGCATCCAGGTCATGTACCAGATCTAAATGAATTTGTTATTGACAAGAATTGAACTCAGATATGCTCCACCCAGGGGGCTGAGCCAAGAATTCCTACCTGGATATAATCTGACATTTGGAACACCAGAGGCAGCCTTTTCTCACTGGATTCCCAGAGGAAGACTACGCCGATCTACATCACCACTGCACCTTCAGAAGAAAATTACACTCTTCTACAGGATCACTGCTTACACAGAAGTACACC